ATCTCATTAATTCTGTCTTCCATGCATCAGTTCTACTCCTTTGTCCTTTCAATGTGTTATCTGTTTCTGACAATTTAGTATTAATCTTCTGGGTTTCTATCTGTAGATTTAGAATCATTTCTAATTTTTCATTTATTTTGTCATTTTGTTCTTGTATTTTCTTCCTACATTCTTCTAGGGTTTTGTGTGTGTTTTCCTTGGTCTGTCTCTCAGTTCTTTGAAGATACCTAAATATAATTCTTTTGAATTCCTTATCGGGGAGTTTCAATGCTGTATCTTCCTCAGGGATGTGTTTGGGATCTGTATCCTGATCCCTTGTTTCTCCTGCTTTATCTTGCTTCTTTGTGTGGATTGTGATGCTCTGTTTGTTGTCTGCAAGGCATTGTGACATTTTTGTGTTTATATTTAATTGGTGATTATATGTTGGAGTGCCTTGCCCACAATTTTTGTTTTCTTTGCTTTTTTTGTATGTTATCTATACAGGCAGAGTCCTGTGCTGTGCTCCTCTATTCACTAGTTGACAGCACTTACGCACTTACCACCTGTCTCCTTTCCTGTTGTCAGTCTCTTGTATGTCCTTGCCACCCCTGACAAACAGAGCCTGTTCTTAGGTCCTGTTTTCGTTCAGGCTTTTCCACTAGTTGGTGCCTGATCCACTTCTGTATAGTTCCTTTCCAAGCTCAGGGCTCCAGGATTATCTTCTGTATCTCTGTCAATTGATTTTTCTTTTCTTTGTTAAAGAGGGTCTGTGTCACTTGTCTGCCTATTCCTCCATCTTACCGGAAGTCCCTGTCTGCTTTTTTTAAGTCAAGTTTCATTATAACACAGCCACACCCATTTGTTGACATATAGGCTGTAGCTGCTTTCCCTCTACAACATTAGAATTGAGTAGTTGTGAAAGGACCCTATAGCCCCATAAAGCCTAGTATATTAACTATCTGGCTCTTTACAAACACATAGTTGTCCTCTCCTGCTTTAGAGTAATATCCTCAGATATTACTCTACTAAGTCTCCTTCTGGTCCTTGGCACTGGCCTGGGTCAACCTGAAACCGGTCCTGAGTGGGTTCTGGTTGCCAGAACAGCTAAGTCATAGTTTTGTAGGTCACCATCTGTGCAGTTTTTGAGTTTAACTTTACCCAAAGTTATTTGGTCTTTGTCCTCATTTTCTAGGAGATAATTCCTAGGTCCTTGGAATTTTGCTAAGGACTCTAGACCTGACAGCTTATACCAGAGAGACGACTCTGGAGTGGAGGCTGGCCAGGCTAGAGCAACTTAACCTCATGATGATTACCTCATGGTAGCCAGGCCGAAGAGCCCTATCTTGGGATGCCTCCAGATCACCTGATAATACCAGCTGACTTCAGGGTACCTCGTGATGATTACCCTATGGTGGCCAGGCCAGAGAGCCCCTCTTGTGATTACCTTGTGATGATGACTGATGTCAGGGGAGAAGGGCTGGAGCCTGCATTATGTAATGTAGACCCCAGTAAAAGCGGGACACTGAATCTCCGTTCGCTTCCTGGTTGGTGAAAACATCTGCTCTTGGGGAGATACTCACTGCTTTGGGACTTGGAAACTTCATACTGAGAACCCTCCCAGACTTTGCCCTATGTGTCTCTTCATCTCTTCCTTATGCTACTCCTGTTTTGTATCCTTTTATAATAAAGCTGTGAGCCAATCATAAACTTGTGAGCCATTCTCACAAATTATTGAACCTGAGGGAGTAGGAGGAGCCAACAGCTAGGAAGTTGGAGGGGCTGAGAGCCCCCAAGCTTGAAGTCTTGGGCCTACATAGCAGTCTGAACTGGAGGACTGTGTCCTTTAACTTGCGAGATCTGACCTAGCTCTAAGTGGCTAGGGTCAGAGAAAGGAGTGCTACATGGGCAGCTGGAGTCAGAACTGGATAGAGGAGTGAAAAACTGAGCATTTGTTTTATGTTCATCATTATTCATCCAATGCCTGGGACCAGCTAGGGCTGATATGGGCCCCAGTTCCAGTTTCTCCTCATCAGGCCCTCTCCAATCCTTTAATCACTTAGCTCTCATCCCCACTCCCACTTCCATGCCAACCAGATGCACCAAGAAACTCAAGGACTCATGTCTATAGGGTAGTCCCAGGACTCCGTGGCTGGTCCCAGTTCCAGAGGGCATCTTGGTGATCCAATCACTCTCACTGGCCAGCATGGTAGTGGACCATCAGAATGGTGCTGAGATGTTAATTTGGGGTGACTTTCATGTCAGGTGTAGGATAAGCTCAAAGCTCTGGGCCACTGATAGTCCACAGCTAACCCCTCAGCTTGAGCATCTGATAGTGGTGAGTAGAGGCAGGCATCCTTTACTCTGCTTACATCGAGGAAGGTCTCCCCTTCTCATCTGCTTGTCAGTCAGTTCTCCTGGGGAGGGGGGTGGGCAGTGCACACTTTCTCCTCCAAAGGCTTTCAAAACTATTGCTCCACAATTGGCCCTTCCAATTAATGTTTTTTCTTGTCTAATTGACGTGGCGACGTGCTCTCTCAGGTTGGTTTTCAGCTGTATTGGACAAGGCACATTCTTTGAGTGAATGGGACCATTCTTCTCACTCTGGTCATACCTCCCTGCCTATCTTACTCCATGTGGCCAAATGTGTGAGGCAGGGGTATGGTCAACATGGAACAAGATTAAAGTTGAGGAAGGCCTAAACTTTATCATTGCCTACAAGTTCAAAAGAAGATATGGTTGGAAGATTTGTTGTTCTGTATCAATGCTGTGAAATTCTGAGTGGTAAAATTCACATGATTAGAAAACAAATTATCTGCCACATTTTCCCACATGTTCTGGGTAGGATTAACATTGTGGCTTCCCTCCAGGAAGAACAGTAACAGCCTTTGAGAGTTATTGGAAGCCAGTGTTCACAGAGTCAAGATGGATGATGGAGCAACGTAGGTAATGATGTAAACAGCATTAAATAAATGGTATTAGGAAACTGCAGAGGCAAGATCTATATTGTTTCAATATAAGTAGATTCTGAAGAGCCATAACATTGCAAGTAGTAACAGTCTTGCTACCTTTTTCTCATAATGGGAGATAGGAAATTGGTGAAGAATGGCGTATTTGATAGTAAACCAAACCAAACCAAACCTATGGCCATGGAGTCAATTCTGACTCATGGTGACCCTATAGGATAGAGTAGAACTGCTCCATAGGGTTTCTAAGGCTGTAATCTTTACAGAAGCAGACTGCCTCATCTTTTTCCCTCAAGGCCACTGGTGGGTTCAAACTACCCACCTTTCATTTAGCAGCCAAGCACTTACCCATGGCACCATCAGGACTACTTTCAATAAAGAACACTAAAAGATGGTGCTTGGGCACTCTGAAGACTCTTCATGTATATTTGTTGGACAATAAACAAGTATGTAAGTACCTCTTTTCTACCTATAATTCTAAATCTTCATCGCTAAATCACTACACCTCACATGGGCCCAAGAATTTTGTAAAACATTTTAAAATGCAGTTGCCTATATGGACAGGAGCGGGTCCTTTGAAGATTATTTGCCTGTGCCCTGTCCACCCTGGGGATATTCTTAATCCCACTTGTGGGACTCAGTCTCACAGAAATTCCCAAACATGGACAGATTTTCTCAAACATGTATGTAATGACTTACTTCACAGTTATTATTGTTTTGTTTGTAATAGCCAAAAATAAGAAAACAACTCAGGGGGCCTGGTGGAATTAGCTGTGCCACATCCACACAATGCAGCATTATGCAGACAAAAGGAGTAAGAAATATCCCTACTAAACTGATGTGGGGAGAGCTCCAGGATATATAAAAACCAGTTGCTATGAGTCAGTTCCGACTCATGGCAACCCCATGTGTGGTAGTTCAGTTTGTGTGTCAACTTGGCTGGGCCTGGTTGAGTGGCTGGGCAGCTGGTGGTAGTTAATCCCCATGAGGAGACTGGTAATCAACTCCATGGTGGGATCTACCACAAGCAGCTGGGTAGCTGCCTTTGGGTATGTGGTCTGCTTCCTGTATATAAGGAGAAGCTTTTGGGTATGGTCTCTAGCCTATGACACGTTTGGACCCTGCATGTAGCCATGTCGTTCATTGCTCAGCAGCCTTCTATGCTCTGCCGACCTTGGGACTTAACAATGGACTTAAGTTAATGTCCTGCCATGTGGTTTGGTAACATCGGGACTGTGCCTTTTTACTTGTCAACCTTGGGGCTTCTCAGCCTCAGCAGCCAG